CAGAATATCCAGTACACCCGGACTTTTATGAAGTCGAAAACCCTAATGGAACATATGAAAATGTTTTCGACTCAGATGCTATTATAGTTCATGCTTCATTTTCTGGCGCCCAAAACTCTTTTTTATGCTTGGCAAATGACTTTTACGAAAAACCTACAAAGCTATATGAACCGCCGAGTGGAAGTATTTCAGACTTTCAAGTATGGTTTACAACAGATGGAAGAAAGAGAATAGTTCCATTATACCATGCGTTTTACTTAGAACTTAGTTTCATATACAACTACTATCGAACGGTAAAAATATAATTTTTTAATACGGTTGAGGTGTTGGATTTGGTTGCCAACTTGACTGTGGTGCAGGTTCAGGCTGTTGTTATACAGGAGCTTGTTCTTCTGGTTCAGGGTCTTTAGGTATAATACCAACAAACTGACCTACTCTTTTACCAATATTTTTGACTCCGTTCCAAATTCCTCTTCCTACGGTTTTTATTCCATTCCATATACCTCTTCCAACATTTCGAAAGAAGTTTCCAATACTACTGAAGAAACCCATTTTACTATATGTAAAAATCTAATGTCCACCTAGTCTCTTACGTTTCCTGTTGAGTTCCATAGCATTCTTTAACTGGAGCATACATTCTGTTTCTCCTCTGGTAGAAAACATATTCTGGGTCAACTCCTGTGTTCGCGTCATCTGCATAAAGTTGTTTATATCCCACTTCAGGGTTTGTATAAAACTCTTTCCATCTCATATTTGCATACCATGGTGGCAAACCTAACGCAGCGTCATTTGACATGGCAGTTTGCATTTGTACATCTGTTGGCACTTGACCATAGTTTGCCATTGAAGTTTGTATTCTAACTTCATTTGGAATATTCTCTGGGTTTGGTTGTCCAGGTTGCTGTGCATTCGCTAAGTTCTGTGCGTCCATTTAATATTAGATAAAAATATCTCTTACGAGTACATATACTGGACATTTGCAGGCATTGGTTCATCTTCATATTCTCTATATCTTTCTGCCACGTCAAATAAATAAATGACACAATGGAAAAAACCTAAAACAAGTAGTCCTATTTCAAACCACATTTACTTACTAGTAAAATTTCTTTATTGTGACACTTTCTCCAGTTTATAGGACCTCTCTCATATTCTATCTTGTCATATATAAACTCATAGTCATGTATGTCCTCTAACCATCTCATAACGGTTTCCAAACCACTTTTATCGGATGTAAAGTAAAAGCATGGACAGTTATGTAAAACGTCTAAAGTTTCTAAAGAGTCTCTCAAAGTCCAGTCTACTTGGTATTGAAAATCCCATGTGTTATAGAACGGCGGGTCCACTATAAAGAAAACATTTTCCTTGTCTTTATATTTTTCATACAACTCTGTCCAATGACATCTCACAAACTCTATACCCTCAATATATTTTTCTATGTCCTCTTTGAAAACATTTGTATAGTTAAGATATAAAACTTTTGACATAAGTGTTTCAATGTCATGAACTCTTTTAGAACCACTATATAATAGTCTAGCAGATATACTATCCCAGTCTATATATTCTGCTTTTTTCAAAACCTCTCTCACAATATTTTTCTTATCTAATGGTATACGTTCCATCTTACCTATAGGTATCTTTTCTTTTAACGCTTTCAATATATTGTTTGTGTCTGGTATATGTTTGAGACGGTCCATATAGTTGTCGAAGTCATTGCATATAATCTTTGAGTCTGGGAATATTGTATGGCACAAATGGGATATATAGAAACTTCCACCGAACAAATCTACAAATGTTAGACCATTCGGTAGTTTCTTAAGTTCTCTCAATAGAATATCTTTACATCTACTCTTATTTCCAAAGAAGGGTAACGGTGGTTTTGTAAAATTCATTTATATATAATAATAAAAATGTTTTTTCCTGAAAAGTGACAGAAAAGTGACAAAACATGAAAACATATATAATTTGTGAAAAGCGACACATTATATAATGTTTTCGACCCAGAAGAAGGCTTCTCAAAGTATACTTCCTTGGAACGCCTGTAACTTTTCCTGTAGCGACGATAGACCCTTACTTGTCCGGACAAAGTTATACTAAACATCTTCAGGGCTAGAAGGGGCGCAGCCCCTGGAAGCCCCTCATACCTGACCTTATGTATATATTTATATATGTATATATTTATATATGTATATATTTATATATGTATATATTTATATATGTATATATTTATGTAATGCATGAAAATTCGGTTCAATTCATTTTTGACACTTTACATATATCATATTGCAAAAAAGTTTTTAAAATATGATGTATGAATAAGAGTATGATTGGTATAGATTTGGGTTGTATAAATGTGATTGAACAATTGTTAATGGAAAGTTCAAAAACTTGGGTGCAATCAGAACTGATTGCACCCAAGTTTTTGAACTTTGTATAAGGAATTGTTGGCTATGATGTACTGATCATGAATCAGTACATCATAGCCAACAATTCCTTCCCAAACAACCCGAAATTTGTCTGATTCCACACTAATTTTATTAATTTATCTAAACTTTTATCCTCGTCTACAATTTAATCATCAATAATTATCTCTTGTTCTATTTCACTATTATATATATATATATATATATATTTATATGATTTGATTTAAAAAAATAAATAAATAAATTAATAAATCATTTACTCAAATATATCAAAAGTTTTATTTTTATATATAAAGATAACTACTTTTTTAAAAAATACCCTATATATTTTTGCCATGTAAACTATTTTTGCCATGTAAACTTGTCACTTTTGTCAGAAGTGATGTGAACCGAATTTTCATACACAACATATGTATATATTTATATATGTATATATTTATATATGTATATATTAGGTCAGGTGAGTGGGGCTTCCAGGGGCTGCGCCCCTTCTAGCCCCTAAGAAATGGACACAAGAACGTAGAGGAGGACCGAACCCCAGCCGACCAGCCGGTGACAACACTTTGACCGAGTAGTTTTTTGAGCTGAACAAAAAGTGTCATATAAACATCTGTCGAAAACCGCTTTTTAACTTCACTTAAAATGCCACGTAAGCTACGTAAGAATATACGTAAGAGGAAGAGAGCATTGAAACATCCAATAGTAAAACTGACACCACAACAACAGTTGCAACAACAAATGCTGAATGACCCCACTATGTTGCAACAAATGTCAAGCAACCCTATGCTCTTAAACCGAGTTCTTGGTGCACAGAGTGGAGGTTTAAGAGCGGCACTTTTAGCGAAAATGGCAGGCTATGGTGGAGCTGCAGACGGAAGAGCTTATAACCCTCAAAGTCAAATGAATTTGAGTTCACTCAAAAATCAAATAACAGATGTCAAAAAGTCAAACATAGACATACAGAAACAAATAAGTGAAAACGAAAAGAAACTAGAATATGACAGACACACAAAGAAACTCAATGAGTTAAACGTAGAGAAAAAGAAGAAAGAAGAACAACTGAAAGAACTAAGTACAGAGGAATATGCGAAAAAAGTGTCAGAAAAAGCAGCAGAAGTAGCAAAAATGGAACAAGATGTCATAAATTTGAAAAACCATACTACTCAATATAAAGTACTGAAAGATGAAGAGATAAAACAAAAAGCCCTGAAGACATATATGGATAGCGATGAGTATAAAAAAGAAGTTGAAGCAAATGTAAAGGCAGAAAAACTTTTACAGTTGCAAAACCAAACCGTACAGTATGAAAACTTAGCACAAGAAAGTAAAAATAACGACGCAGCCATGCAAAAGGCAATGAAAAGCGCAGAATATATAAAAGCTAACAATGACTGGTTAGATACCCAAGCCAACGCTAAAGCAGCCCAACTTATAGGGTCAATAAGGACAAAAATACAAGCGGATGAAGACAGTTCAAATGAAGCTTTAACAAATGCTGACTTTAAGAACGCCTTCGAAGCTCTTCATAGTAAGGTGAAACTAGTGAACGACTTCTCATCTGGAAAGAAACTGAAGTCTGAAGGTTTCGACAAAGAGTTAAGAGAAGTAGCACAAAATATGACGAAAATAACAGATGCAGCAACGAGACAGGCAGTTCAAAGTGCCTATGACGCCGTTAGAGCAACTGTTGTGAAAAGTCAAGAAAAAGAGTTACAACAGACCAAAACAGACCTAGTAAATGCTTTCTTAAAAACGAAAAGTCAGGTAGGACATTATGCTGCAGATGGAACATATGTGCCAGCTGGTGGAACTTATATACCAGCTGGTGGAACTTATATACTAGCTAGTGGTGTAATAAACAGAAATTCATCAAAAGTGACAGCTCTCAATTTTTTTGACATTTGTAAATTCTAAATTGAATGAGAAAAATGAAATAATACTAAGCATAATACAATATTCTAGATTTAATTATAATTAGGAAAAAGTTAGTTTTGAGAGTACTTTTCATAGGCATATAGAATGAAATCTTCTGAAAAATAATATCACATAAACTCATATTATTTTCTAATATATAACTATTTTATATAAAAATCAAATTCAATGATCTTAAAAGCGAAGGATAAACCTCAAAATTTACGAATATAATGAGTGGGAATAGGCGTAAAGCAAAAATTGATATTTCATATGGTTTTATGATAGATAACCATTATATTCCCACTCATTATATTCGTAAATTTTGAGGTTTATCCTTCGCTTTTAAGATCATTGAATTTGATTTTTATATAAAATAGTTATATATTAGAAAATAATATGAGTTTATGTGATATTATTTTTCAGAAGATTTTGTGTTCTTCTTCAAAATTTTATTTTTTTATTAAAAAGAATCTTTACAAAATATACATTTACTTTAATTAATATTTAAAAACGTGCTCTATCAAAAGTTCCAAAAATTCAATATTTTAGCTTTTCTGAGGTGTCACTTTTGATGAATTTCTGTTTACAACAGTGGAACTTATATACCACCAAACCCTCCAAGAGAAGCACCTGCACCAGGACTACCTAGAACATTTACATCGTCACATGGACACAGACACAGGCATGCACCAAAACCAGCACAACAACAACCAAAACCAACAGTTCAAAATCCAGCACAACAACAACCAAAACCAACAGTTCAAAATCCAGCACAACAACAACCAAAACCAACAGTTCAAAATCCAGCACAACAACAACCAAAACCAACAGTTCAAAATCCAACACAACAACCACAAACAGAGCAAGGACATAAAAGAAGTAGAGAACAAGGAAACCAAGATTTCTTAAAAATGCTAAAGGAAAATTATGGTTACCCAGATACTCTTGACTTTAGTGACAGATATAAAGAAGCTATTAGAAAGTTCAAGGATGGAAATACTGACCCGAACCTATTTAGCTTTATGGTTCAGCACCAAATGGGATATAATTTCAAACCTGGAAAATACAAGCTCGCTAAGGGATATGATTTAATAGCATATCATCCAAATGACATGACTGAATTTACTCCGAGATATTTGGTGTCAGAGCTAAATGACAATTCAACTCTCTTCATGAAACGCGTAAAAAATAAAGACGGAACGAAAGAAGAAAGGGTTATGTATGCGGATGACTTAGAGAGGGAACTTGTTAAAAACGGTCTCGGAATATATGAAATGCCAGCAGATGAGGTACAAGAAACTCCACAGGAAGAAGTTCAGATACAACCAGACATGGAAGAAATAGTTCAGCAACAACAGCTAGAAGAGCCAGAAGGAAACGAACAAATCCCTCCTTTGGAAACTAACTTCACAGAACTAGATGAAGATTTGGAACAGCCGAAAAATCTTGACCCTCAACAAGAGTATGAGATGAATATGGAATCTTTCCAAGAGTTTAAGAAAAATTCGGCTGACGGAGTAGAAGAATATCGAAAAATGTTTGCCGACATACAAAAGACTCCAACACCAGATGAAAATATTCAGCATAGAATGGAAGTACTGAAAGAAAGTGTACACACATACAACAACCCTTTTTACTTACGACCATATAACGTTCAATCTTTGGATGAACTCGGTGAAAATAAAAGGTTAAATTTCAACAAAACATATAGAAATGAAACATTGTTTAAAGTTCATTCAGAACCTAGCCAATATGGAAACAAACCTACTTTTGTTTCTGCAGACTATGGAACTACAATGAGATGGGGTCATAAAGCTAACCCGGATAGGTGGTTCATAAACTTACAACCACAATTCCAAGAAGTTGTAGACGCAATGGAAGTCAATGGTGAACCAGATATAGCTGGTATTTTCAGCGCGGCTTTAATGCCATTGAAAGATATGAAAGATGCAGATATTTTGAACCAGTATGAAATGAACATGGCTGATGGAAATATAACACCTGACGTTCTAGAACATTTATCTCAAAGAACTACACAGAACCATAGAGATGGTATATTTGGTGAAGAGTTTAGAAAGAAAGTTAGGGAGAGAGAAGGAAGAGAACCTATTGTACATGACCTTGCAAACGAAAGTTTACAAAATGTCATAAAAACTTACTTTGCAGACAATGAACCGAGAAGGGATGAATATTTAAGAAAACTCAAATGGACAGTACCAAATGAAATGTTAGTATTGAAAAACATGTTCCTTGACAAAATAAAACCAACTACAGAAATAAATGACGCAAGACTGAAACATTGGGTAAAAGCTTTCCCATTCACAAAAGATATTGTTGGTAACATGGAAAGAAAACCAGAATGGCTACAAAAACATATATTTGGAAACGAGCTTATTCCATATGGACAAGCTCTTTTTGAAGAGCTTGAACCGGAAACTCAGGAAAGAGTCATGCAAACAATACGCGAAGACTCAAATACAAACTATGACGAAATCTTTCTAGGATATAGGTTACCTGAGATGGGCGACCAGAGCCCAAAGGCAAAAAGGACATGGGAAATTTACAACATACTAGGTGAACATGAGGCAAAGATGCAACAACTTGAAGCAGAGGGCAAGTTACCAAAAGCGACACCAAAGAAGAAGAGAAGAACAAAGTGAAAATAGTGAAGAAGTAACTTCATCTAGTGAAAGTAGTGGCAATGAAGGAAAAAGAAGAGTTAAAAACTCAGCCAGGAAGAAAGTAAAGCTTGGTCCACGTGGGTTCTATTATGACAAATAAATCCAACTATTCTATATTTTTACCCATATGAAATGTACGCCGCTCAGAATATAACGCCAACAGTTTTGGATGCCATGAATGGAAATGTTTCCGAATGGTATAACGAATGCGACAATGCCATTAGAAGGTCAGAAATAGTTCCTGGAACTTACGAATATACAACTGCTGTTTCTTATGGAAATGTAGGTGAGTTTGGTTCTTCAACAACAGTAGATATTGCTTGCGACAGGTTTCATATAATTTCTATTGACAACTCATTCTTATACGTGGAACAAGACATTGAAATAAAACCTTCTGCCAAGTTGTCTGACAAGAAAGGTTGCAATGGAATTTTCTATGTCGGATACCAATATGCTCCAGAAGTTTTCATGGGATATAAGATATATTCTAACTCTGACTTAGTTCAAACAGTAACATGGGCAAACTATGAATGGTTCGCTTTAAGAAACTCAGTACAACCACAAGCTAGAGAACAAACAGACCAGTATGCAACTATTGAGAAAATAAGAAGACTTGACCCTAACGTTCCAGGAGTTTATGTTAACCTTTCTGGTTCAGATGGAAATGCTGTCACTAAAGTAAAACTGAAACTTAGAGTTCCTTTGTCATCTTTCCTCATCTTCAGGTTTTTAAGATACTTGCCAAACTGGGCAGGAAAAATTTCTATTGAACTTACTCCAAGCAAAAATAACTTAGTCATTGCACCAACACAAGACCCATTCACTCTTACAGACGTAAAGGGAGCAAATCAAACGTCATTCGCCGAATTTTGCAAAGACAAAGTTGACTTAGACTTTGGTTTCTCAAACCTCAACACTGAAGTAAAGTATTATTTCAATGCTGCTGGAACTGCTTGGGACCCAGTTAGGTTCACATGCGAAAAATTTGAATGCAAGAGAATAGAAAGCAGACTTGCAGTCTATATGTTGGACCCAGATATTTCAAATGCTTTAGCTGCCAAATATATTGCAGTTCCACTTATGTTCCCTATACACCAAATATCTGTCAAAGACTTTGCAGGTGAAGTTGGAAACCAAAATCCAGGAACCGCAGGTGCAAGAACAGATATTGCTTTAACAACTGCAATGAAACACGCAGATACTATGTTTGTACTGTTCAGACGAACTATAAATGACTATTCTTGTTTCTACAACCCCGGTATTAAATATCATATAAACATAGATGGCAAATATTATCCAAGAGAAGAATATTCTACAGTTGAGGATATGAGGTCATACAACTTGACATTAGATGCTATGAACTTTAACAACAACTTCACAACAACCATTAACCCTGAAATGCAAAGTTCTATTATGCCATATGTGAAAGTATGGACCCATACAGGAAGTCAAAAAACTCAATATACAAATGGAGACCGTTCAAACTTTTGGCTTGGCATTCCATTTGCTGACTCAGAAGACTTTATGGGTGGTATTTCAACTGTTGGTACTGTACAAATACAATATACTGGTGACAGAGACGGTCCATATGAACTGAGAGCAAAGAAGTTTACAAAACCAATAGCACTTTTCACGGAAGATGCTCTTTTGAAGATTCGTTCGATGAAACCTGCTGGGGCTCCTCAGATTGGCATAACGACAGCTTCCATCGAGCAGATTTTGGCAGCAGGTCAGTAAGTTGTTCTTGAACTGACTTCTCTCCGTCAAATATTGACAGTACGCCAGTTTTGACATAATATTGTATTATAAACTTACCTTTAGAAATATCTGTAAGTTTTGAAGTTATATTTTTGTCTGCTTCAAGAACTTTCACCATTTCAGTTATACCAACTTTCTTTGCTTTATGAAAATATTTTGGTTCAGCAAAGACTGCTATTCTATAACATTTACCATTGTTTGTGTAAAGAACTATTCTGTCAATGTATTTGTATTGTTTGTGTGTGTAAACTTTGTTCTGCTTCAATTCGAAGAGATACTCGAATACGTCCATCTTTTTATTCTAAGTAAAATGTCATTTCCGAAAAATAGAAGCGTAAGTGTTTCAAAAGGTTTAATGGCGGTGGCAGATGTGAAGTTAAATTCACCAACTCAAACAAACAGTCAAAGTGTTATTGTCAATGTCAAAGAAAGAGATGTTGAAGTGGGGAAACCATACGAAGACGAAGATGGTATAACAATTGTTCCTGTAAAAGAACAACCAACATACCCTGAAGTTAGCAGAGACTTAAGTTCTGTTGCAGATATTCGAAACGACTACCAACAACTGAAAGACAAACTTCAAACTCAGGAGAAGATTTGTCAAGCTTTAGGTATAATGTTAAACTTGGTCGAACACAACCCTGTAAAAGTGAACTCATATGTCATTGCACCTCATGAAGTTTTGAAAGAACTATTGAAACTTTTGACAGAGGCAGACGATATAAACATCAAAGAAATAGAACCCGACGTTAGTTGCTGTGGTGTTTCATATAATGTCATTGACAAGATATACGTTATGAAAGGAGGTGAAACGTTGAACTTAAAATATAGTTTCCCAGACGTTATAAAAATATTTGACGACCACAACATTTCATTAAAATTTATTTGCTAAGTAAAATGGCAGAAGACACAATGGTTTATACTATTACGACTAAAAACCCTGAGTCATATAATTCTATAACAACAAACTTACAAAGTCCTCAAGGACGATATTGTAAACTAACTTTAAACACAATGACGACTAAAGCTTGTTTTGCTCTTTTGACACCAGAAGATTTTATTGTTGTGAATGGTAAAAAATACTCCTTTGAAGATACTTACTCAGATATACCACCAACAGGTTTTGTTGACTTATTTAATACTTTAAGGACGAGTGTAACATGTGCTGCAACTAGAGCAGGTTTCATTATGTTTGGATGTCCGACTGAGTTTACTATAAACAATATGAGCTATAATACAAAACTTATATCTGGTTTTTACTACCAACAGTTTCCTATAACAGGAAAAGGTGTCATACAAGGAATGTCTATTCCATTGACTTTAAGTACACCTATTTTATATATTGTTTCAAACTTAGGTTCAAAGTGTTATTCGAATGTCGACAGAAACTACTATGACCAAAAGATACTTATGCGTATAAACAACACTTTCTCTGCTGGTTTGCCTATTGTTCATTCGAATGCAGAGTTTTCAGCTTAGTAAACTCAAACACTTTGGCAATATAAACTTGACATTAGTTGACGCAAACTTTGTTCCTGTAAAACTTTTATGTCCTATGTATTTGTCAATGACGGCAGAAAGTTTCGAATTGGAAGATGCAACTGGTGAAAGTATTGTATTACAAGAACAACTTCAACAACAAATAGCTCAAGAACAACAAATGCAACAAATAGCTCAAGAACAACAAATAGCTCAAGAATAAAAAAAATATTTTTTTTTATTTTTATAAAAATGTACAGAATAGATGTTTCAGATTTTTATGACTTCCAACATTCAGAAATATGTGTCCATTTCGAGACTATAACAAAGCAGTCGAGAATTTGAAACGTTTAGTCATTTATGTCGACTCTGCCCCAGAATGTTATGTTATGAAAGAATGGGATGTAGTCTTTAACAAACCTAAAGCAACAATAGTTTCAGAACAAGAATGTAAACAGAAACTTAAGAAAATAAAAGTCGTACAAGTTGGCATGAAGATGTTAGATGCTTGGGATATCTTATTGTCAAAGTTAGAAGATTTTTCAGTTCGAGGTATAAAGTTCTATACACCTCTCCAAACTTCTATTCTATCTTCACTGGATATAAATACGAACAAGTAGAATGGAAAGGAAAAATGTTATAGAAGCTTGGTTAGACCATGTCAAAGAAATTATATGCAATGGAAACGAAAGAGTCTATGAGTATATCTTATGTTGGTTTGCAAACATCTTACAACATCCAAGTGCTAAAAATGAAACTGCTCTCATTATAATTGGAAAACAAGGAACAGGTAAGAACACATTCTTTACAGATATTTTGTGCAAACTGTTAGAAGGTTATTCGAATCCGAATATGACAAACTTAGAAAACATCTGCGGTAAATTTAACTCTTCAATAGAGAATATTGAAACTTATAGTATGTAACGAACTTCAAAGTATAGATACAACAAAAGTTTTGAACTCAGATGCTTTGAAGAGTCTTATAACAGACAAAGTTGGAGTTGTTGAAAGAAAATATAAAGACCAAAGAGTTGTGAAAATGTTGCAAACTTCGTTATGGTTTCAAACAATGCTGTTCCGATGAAGTTAGAAAGTTCTGACAGAAGATATGTAGTTTGTCAGAACGTCAGAAGCTCATATGCAAGATACAGATATTTTGACGACTTAGCAGAAACTTTGACATCTGACTTTTACAACCACTTGTTTCTCATATTTTATGACATTAGATATTTT